TCTTCTTTATTTCTCCCTTCTCTTTTTGTTTTCTAAGTTCTCTTCCCTCATCTTCGTAATATTAAGTTGAGAATTTGGGAGGGTGGGGGAGGAAAGGAATAACCCCTTTATATTCTCTCATTTCTCTGTTTTACTTCTACTACTCTTATTTTGACACTAAGAAGAACCACTATGATATTGTCATGTTTTTTCATTGGCACAGATTCTGAGTTCTGAACAGCATCTCTATTTGCCAGCAAATGACTTATTGGTATATGAATGGTTACAACCCTTGTTGAAACTGTTAGGTGTTCAAAACACACATGAAGGTTTTTTTGGGAAGTGAAGGTTTTAGTTTTGCAGGCATTCAACAAAGAGGCAATATGTACTAGCAAAGTGGAAAGGATCTTCTTGAATTAAATAGAAATGTTTACAAAAAGCATAAAACAAGAGCTTAAAGGAAAAGGAGAGAACCTTATCAGAGATAATTTATTCTTTAATTTGTCTTGAAAAACAATCTCAACAAGTTAAACCAGGTAGTCACAGGGAACCCTGCCTATGACTGTTCTGGACTCAGCAAAAATATTTTGTTAAATTAATCACTTGATCAGGTGTTAATTGCTGCATGTAGTTGACAGTGTGGTGGATCGACCTTGCCTGTCTGCTAGAACCCCCACTCAGAAACTCTTTCAATCCCCCTCCTCAACAGGACGGCAAAGAAAATGAGACAGAAAAGTTTGTGGGTTGAGATGAACACAGTCTAATGAGAAAAGCAAAAAATGTGTGTAGACACAAAACAAAAAGGTATTTATTCACTACTTCTAATGAGGAGGCAGATGTCCAGCTTGTAAAGCAAGTCATCAGTATGCATAGCAGTTGCTTGGGAAGACAAATACCATAAACACAAATGTATCCTCCCCTTCCACTCTGCTTTTATTTTTGAGCATAATGTCATATGCTTTGGAATATCCTATCAACCAGTTTGGGTCAGCCGTCCCAGTTATGTCCCCTCCCAACCTCTTACCCACCACTACTGTACTTGCCTTGGTGGGGGTAGTTAGAGAGAAGGGCTTGATGGTGTGAAAGATCTGCTCAGTAATAACCAAAAACATTGGTGTTTTGACACTTTTTTAGCCACAAATGCAAAGCACAACATCAAAGCAGCTGGAGTGAAGAAAGATCATACCATCCTAGGCAGACCCTGTACAAGTCCATCACCAAATAATGACAAACTTTTAAAAGTAGCATACTATACTAGTATAGTAATAAGTTTAAGGAAATAAATATGATCCTGTATTTATGAGACGTGCAAGTGTTTTCAAGTATTTCCCTGACATCCTTCCTGACATAAGTAATGTTCTTATAGACATTGGCTTGCCTACTGCAGTGCCTGGCCAGAAAGCCTTCACATACAGAGAAGGATGATAAACAGAAATTCTGTAGAAGAGGAAAATTCTCTGGGATTAATTACCTGGTTGGTTTCAGTACTTGGTATGGGCCAAGAAAGCTCTTTCAGAGTGAAGCTCAGTTCTGTTGTCTTTGCCCCAGTAGAGACTAGAACTATTTGAATCAGAAATTAACATTTGAATGCTCATATCTATATTCTGAAATAAGGATAAAATCTCTTGGCTTCTCAAATTATTTCTTGGATCCAATGGATTTCCTCTTTTTGATGGTAAAGTTACCATTTCATGAAAATAATATTCAATTAAAATTCCTTGAAATTTAAGTACTAGCAAGTGCAGTACAACTAAAGAACTGAGATAATTAAATAATATTGATAACAAAAAAGCATATTGGTAATTTAGATCTATTTAACTCTTAAACCTGTGAAAAATAAACAATTTTTTCATCAATTTAGCATGAGCAGGTGGAGAAAGAAGACATTATTAGGCAAATGCATAACTTTATCCAAAAAGTCTTATATCTTTAAACAGCATAATGTTTATATGTTGACCTTTTCATAAAAAAAACACTGGAAAATACTGGCAATGATAAAGTTCATTGTGAATGCTGTAATATCGAGACACAATCATAAGCTTTCCTATAAAAGTATTCTTTTGGGATGATAATTCTGACCAGCCATTAAAATCACCAAGCCCCAGCTCCACCTTCTGTGTCTGATACTGCACAATAGTACTGTCAATCATTATACTCAATACTGGGATTTGACGTTTTTGACGTGACTGGAAGTGCTTATATGATTAAATTAAACTCATGGAAAGACTGCCAACTAGAAATCTTCATTGACAAAAGGAGGAAATGTCTAATACAGATGCACTTAACCCAGTTTAACCCTCATTTATCTTGTGAGAATAAATCTTTGGGTTTTATCACTGTAAAGAATAAATGTGTGAGTGTCATTGTTTTGAATAGGTTGGATAAAAAAACCATTTAAACCAGTCCAGCACTCCAAACATTGCCCATGCTTTAATCACACTCACAAGCACTGGCAGGCAAGGGCCTTAAATTCTAAGAGCATGTCCCAGTGGAAACGTTAAAGACCTTGCTAGTGGAAATGGGCTATCTAATATCACATTGAATATAAATCTGCTTGGAAAGATCATGATTATCCTGGAAGTCTAACAAATTGAGGCACTTGGTTTTTGGTTCAGAGAAAGCTTTCAAGTTCTGCAAATGTTATCAGCGTAAGTTAATGAGCCATGGCATTCATTCCACCTCATGAAACACTTCTAGATTTATACTAAATTGAGGTGTACAGGCACTTTTAATTTTATCATTATTATTTTTTAGTTTAACAAATTTTTTAGAGTTCCTGTGGCTGAGGCTGGATGAATTAAAACACAAGTTTTGGTGGGAATTGTAATTAGAAAAGCACATTTGATCAGAAATAAGGAAATTAAAAAATAGTTAATCTGTTACAGTCCTTCAGTTTTATATTGTCGTTATCAGATCTAGAAAAATTACAATGAACCATACTTATTATGTAATTTGAATTTGGCCAGTGTCTAGTATGATGGATTACTTCAAATAAATTATTTGAGTGAATCCTATCTGTGGCAGTAAATCTGCAGTATATGAGAAAACTGTGGTTTAAACATGTTTCAAAATGGCTTTTTGTAGTCTCTTTGCTAACTCATGCTTTCTTCTTCCCAAGACCCCCCACGACAAGTGTTATCCCATGCAGGAATGTCCTGGGAAGATGTCCTAAGGTGTTCTCACTGGACCTTGCTAACCCCTTCCTGTGATTGGGTGTTCCTGTAAGCCCCTTGAGACTTCTAATTGGTTATTCTGTGAGTACTTCTAACTTTATAAATGTAACCCTCCCAACAATAAACTCTCTCTTGCCTCCTCTCCACGCCGCTGTGCTGTCTCTGTACCTACCACGTGGGTGGGGGGAGAAAGGGAGGGCATCTCTCCCCTCCAGGCTCAGGACCTGAAGTAACCCCTGGCGCTGGAGTTCCCTTTCCCTATCCACCTCAAGCCATCGGAAATGGTTCCTCAGATGGAAATGGAACTAGAACTGGGCCGCCCCACACCATGGGGGGAAAGGCATCCAGACCTATCTGCCAAGAAGATGCTTATAAAGGCCTTATGTCCATACAAATATTCATCTCAGACCTTATAACTTCTCTTGTGAACAAACAAATAAATCATTGTTTGGAAGAAGAAGAAGGAAATTTTTCATCCAAATCATTAATTTTTTGCTATTAAACTGGTCACTAGATTTCTGAAAGTGATCTTCTGTATGTCAGATGAAAATGGACTTTTAGGGAAGAAATGTTTTTTTCTTTGATGTAATAAAAGAAGATTCTGTGTTTATTAGTTGTTATTCAGGGGTTTAAAATAATGAATCTTCTGAACAAATCCAGGAAATACTGTTCTGGTTGAAAAACTACCAAATTTCTAATATTTGGCTGATCGGTTTGGACAGGGGCACTCTGTGCTGTGTTAGGAACTGGCTAGAGGGCTGGGCCCAGAGAGTGCTGGTGAACGGTGCTGCATCCAGCTGGCAGCCAGTCACTAATGATGTCCCCCAGGGATCAGTGTTGGGCCCAGTTCTGTTTAATATCTTTATCGATGATTTAGATGAAGGGATTGAGTCCATCATCAGCGAATTTGCAGATGACACTAAGCTGGGGGGGAGTGTCGATCAGCTGGAAGGCAGGAGGGCTCTGCAGAGGGATCTGTACAGGCTGGAGAGTTGGGCTGATTCCAAGGGGATGAGGTTCAACAAGGCCAAGTGTTGGGTCCTGCACTTTGGCCACAACAACCCCCTGCAGCCCTACAGGTTGGGGGCAGAGTGGCTGGAGAGCAGCCAGGCAGAAAGGGACCTGGGAGTTTGGATTGACAGGAAGCTGACGTTTGGATTGACAGGAAGCTGAACATGAGCCAGCAGTGTGCCCAGGTGGCCAAGAAGGCCAATGGCATCCTGGCCTGGATCAGGAACAGTGTGGCCAACAGGACCAGGGAAGTGATTCTTCCCCTGTGCTCAGCGCTGGTGAGGCCACACCTGCAGTGCTGTGTCCAGTTCTGGGCCTCTCAGTCCAGGAAGGATATTGAGGTGCTGGAGTAGGTCCAGAGGAGAGCAACAAGGTTGGTGAAGGGACTTGAGCACAAGTCCTATGAGGAGAGACTGAGGGAGCTGAAATTGTAGCCTGGAGGAGATTCAGGGGAGACCTCATCACTCTCTACAACTCCCTGAAAGGAGGTTGTAACCAGGTGGGAGTTGGTCTCTTCTCCCAGGCAGCTACCAGTAAGACAAGAAGGCATGGTCTTGAGCTGTGCCAGGGGAGGTTTAGGTTAGATATTAGAAAGAAATTCTTTACAGAGAGGGTAATCAGGCATTGGAATGGGCTGCCCAGGAAAATGGTGGGTTCTCCATCCCTGGAGGTTTTTAAGCAGACTGGATGTGGCACTTAGTGCCATGGTCTAGTAACCATGACAGTGTTGGGTCAAGGGTTGGACTTGATGAGCTCACAGGTCCCTTCTAACCTGTCTGATTCTATGATTCTATAATTCTATGATTATGATCTTTAGGCTATGGATCTTACACTGGACTGGTGCCACCAGTTACATTTATTAGTATTATCAGTGCCTGTGTGTTCTTGGTAACTTCTAATGCTTTGATGTCTTATGGGTAAGGCCTAAAATCATAGCTTATTTTGTGTTACCTTATATGCTTTAAGGATTCAAATTATTCATGCAGAGTGGAAGTATGTATTTGATATAACTGATAAAATCTAGACATCAAAATCTATGGTTGGTCACCTGAGACTCTCTCTATAGAGTTACTTAGCAGAGGTACATTTCATCACATCTTAAAATAGATGTTGAAAATAGGTCAAGTGTATCATACCCTGGAAGTCCTTATTTCTGTCTACTGACATTTACAAACTCAGCTTTTGATGTCTGCTGCAGAAATCCGAGCACAAGTGTTTATACTTTCATTGTCAGTTGTGATTAGGAACTTGCAGATAGCACAGAAGTGATTGAACAAACATTCCTGAAGCCTCCAATCCAAATCTGTCCAGCTATTGAAGACCTGCATTATTTAACAAAAAGAATTTTAAAGAATCAATTTAGGGCTATGATAATTTTATTTTCTCTCACTAGGGATTCCAGTTGCACATGCAGGGGCACAGGTTTGTGTGTGCTGATTGAAAAATTCATGACCAGGAAGTGAAGCCTGGTATGAGAGCTAATGAGGACCAATTTCAGAAATGTTAAGTGATGGCAAGAATTCTGCCTGATGTAGTCATGAAAAAAGAAAGCTATAGTAAGTCTTGAGGAGGATGGAATTCCTTAAAGTACTAGAAGGAAAAAAAAGTTGTATTTAGAGCAGTTAAGCTGAAGAGAGGGTGTGTTGGTCAGAGAGGGAAAAGCAACTAATTGTTACAGTGGAGAACTCAATAGGATGAAAGAAGATAAAATCACAAGCAAAAGGCCAAGTGATTCTTTCTGTATCTTTCAGAGTTGCCGATAATTGACAGTTCTTGGATTCAAACCAAAAGTTTTGATACGTTTGATATAAAGATAACCCAAATAGCTTGGAGGGAGTGTCAAGAGTGTATCTTATCTCACTTCATAAAAACATGTATTTTTAAGCGATTAGTTCATTTCTGTAGAGTAGAAAAGAAAGGTGTGGAAAAATGACTGATTTCCAAATGTGATAAGAAAATAAGGTAGTGTTTCATTTAGAAGATGTGTCTGACAGCAAACTTTAATTTATGTGCCCAAAAACCTTAGAAAATCTGGGGAGGGGGGAAAGAAACCTTAACAAAAATAGAACAACCATCCTTCTGTGGTATAGTTTACCTCCATTAAGGAGGCAATACACCATGCCTTGTTTTGAGCAAGGCCTCTGGATGTACAGAGATTAGATCCTGTAGGAATTAAACCATTGCCTCTGGAACACTACATATTTTCAGATGTGTGACACAGGGTAAGGAAAAAATTAGATTTTTTCAACTGCATGAGAAAGAAACAAGGAGAAAGACAAAAATAGAAATATATATATGTTGTTTATTCAATATTCAAAATAATAGCATCAGTACATAGGATACAAGATTGAATCATCGTAGTTTAACTCATTACTGCCTGTCACCTAACTCAAACTGTTTTCTAGACAGTAATGGATATTATTAGGCCATCACCAGTTGTGAGGTCATAAACTAGTTGATTTGCTTTGCCTCATGTCTGAAGCAGGGTGAGCTCAAATAAGTAGACACACGTGAGTATGCAATAACTTATCCTATGTACTCAAGTCATTGAGCCATTGGATCTACACACAATCAGAATCACTTAAAAGTATGGGGTATTTCTTTTATGTCTGTGGAAAAAAATAATCTTTATTTGCCCCAGCAATGAGTTTATAAACTGGCTATGGCAACTTTCCCACTCCAAATCAACATGATTTTTGAAGACGAGAGCAAAGGAATTTCTGTTGAGAAAAGGCAGACAGTCCAGTTTCTGAGAAGTTATATTTTATTGCAAGAACAGATTTAGTCTAATGAGGTCAAAATCACATACTTCTAAAGTAACACATGGATCAGAAATTCTGCAATGTTCATTTCTGGTTTTTTTCCTTTTTTTTTTTTCTCCTTATTCACAAAACCTGATGGACAGGGAACCAGGTCTTGAAGTTTCATTAAAACTAACCCTGGTGCAATTGGCCAAAACTGAGTAAGTATTTCACTGAGCAGTTGTACCTTTCTTCAAGGAAGACCATCCTTGAAGGCACCAAAACCATGAAAAATCATGAAAGACTGATTAAATGCAGACTCTGTTCCAGAAAACTGAGGTTTGGGGCCACTGGAATCCTCACTGTAATTCTAAGAGTTTAGCCCAGCCAAAGGTCTGGGACTTCAACAAAGCAGGGATTACAGTCTACCAGATGAATCCCTCTTCCAAGGGAAAGCATGGAAGCTGTGGCTTGACTGTGTTTTATAGGGAAGGAGAAGCCACTTAACCCTCTCTTGGTGTTAGCAAAATGGCCATTGAAGTGGAAATGTTTTAAAACAATCTGAGTTCAATAAACCACTTGTGAAATAATGCTGTTAATTGATTTTCCAACAAGTGTTGAAGAAAAAGATGGAATATTTCAGTTTCTGAGTCTTTCAAATTACGGTAACTGAAAGGAAAATATATTTATAAATTTCTTTCCAATGTAAATTAACCAGGTTAGTGTACACACAAGGGTCTATTTAGAAAGAGAAATGAGGGGTTTTGATTGTTCAACAGCCAACAGACTTATCTACTCCCAGTAGAGTCTTTCTGGTGTTGAAATATCACTCTAGTGTCTAAATGGAAAGCAAAAAATGATCTGTTTCAAGAAAATTCTGATGTAGGTGTTAGGTATTTATGAAAGGTCAGACTTTTTAAGTAAACATGCAAACTTCCTATGTGCACTTACCACATGCTATGTTTATTCCTTTCAACCTGTAGAAGAATCTGCAATCAAAGATGCAAACTGTTCCAGTTACAGTAACCTGCAGCAAATATTTAATAATTCACAACTGTGGAGGCATTGAATCTATACCTGAACCATTCACATTCTGGAAACACACAATAAACTTCAGTGTCAAGGAGTCTCTTCCCATAAAGTTTCATTATGATGTTAAAATTCCCACTTGAGGCTTCAGGGCAGGAATGTTAACAACTGAATTAGAATAAAGTACACACTAGATAGAGTTTATTCTTTTAGACTGACTTGCCAGAAGTAGTTTCACTTTGTATTCTTTCCATAGAACTTGATGTATGAAATAAAGGTATTAAATTAATGCAATAAATAAAACTCGATTCTTTGTGTTCCAAACACAGATTTGCGTACAAATAATTGATTCCAATAAATGTATGGCTTATGCATTATCTTCCATAATGCAATGACATTTTACATAGTTATTAGCTGCTAATGATGTTTTAAGAAACTGCATTTTTAAAAGTCAGGTTACATGTGCTCATGGAATATATCTGGCAGCCTCAGAGAAATCCTGTCACACTGAACAAGTTATTTTTCTGGGAGTTATCTGATAAGTGGCCTGTATCCCTGCAGAGCTCTAATGTAAATCTTTAAAAAATGTAAGAAAGCCTCAATATGATCACAATATGGTCCTGAATGTTTTGTAAAGCCAACAACTCTTTCAGCCAACTTAATATTCCAGTACTGGGAGGGACTCCTCCCTGTGTTTTGGGAGCTCTACAAGATGTTTCTGAAATTCCAATATAATCACTAGTTTTATACCAGAAATCCCATGGAAGAGGCTTGATTGGAATGTATGCATTTTAGAAAACTGTATGATTTTTTTAAAGACTTCTTTTTACAGCTCTGTTTAGTGGAACTGACTCCAACCTCAACCTCACAAGTACACAAATACTTTCCTTTCCAACATGTCAAAATATGATCACTTTTTCAGCTTCAGAAAGACCATATTCATATTCCTTTCCATGCTGCTTCTCATGCCACATCTCTTTAACTTTCAAACCATTCCCTGGGCTACCTACAAATAAGCAAGCAAACATCAATCTTAGAACTTTGACCATTATTAGTCATCCCCAGATAGAGCAATTTTATCTAATTTTCTTAAAAGCCCTGGGATGCCCATGTATATCTGTTTCACCTGCACATTTACTTTTCAGCCTTTGGCGATACAGGTTCAAGTTCCAGTGCACCTCCTCTCTTCACACAACATAGATACTTTGGCATTTTCAAAAAAGAGATTTGACATGGCATTTAGATCAAGATTAATATATTTACATGAAAGACACTTTCATGTGAGGAATTTAATATCATTTCATATTTAGTGAATATAGCCAACACCATCAATAGAATTTAAGAAGCTGTATAATTCACCTTTAAAGAGGCACAATAAATTAATCTCAATATTTTAGGCTTAGGCATCTAAAGCCATTTGGGATGCTTTAGAGTATTCAAGACACAGAGACAGAGCTATCAGATTTTACACACTATCAATGATCTCCTGAAGCATCACTTTGTGTTATTTCAAATTACACTGGAGATCTAAATTGAACCTTTAGTCTGAATTCTACATTTCACAAGTAGAGGGTAATCTATATTATGTAAATGTATTCTATCATTAAGAAAGAGAGGCAAAATATCTCTGGCAAAAAAATTTGGGAAGTTTGAGTGCTGGCCTATCTGGTGCCCATTAAATATTATATCTATTCAGGTAATATCCAAATTTCTTCTTTTCTTCTTGGGGTTATTCATCTGTTCATTTGGTGGTCCACAGTTTGACAAATTCTATATTTCTGAAACCATGCAATTTCTGTGATTAATACCTGATGCCAAGGCCAAGGAAAAGACAAGGCATGTGCCTACACTTCTCAGAATCAGTTCCCTCTGAAACACTCCATCTGTGGTGGACACCCATAGACTAAACCCTGGATCTGTGTTTTTGACAGTTCTCTATTCCCTGTACTTTTATCTAATGCACCCAATGCTCACATCATACAAGCTGTGCAGAACTGGGACCTCTGAGCTGCTGAAACTGAGTCATTAATATGTTAGAGCAGATATTTCTGTGGATGTTCTTGCTGTTCCTCTGAATATCCTTCTAGTTAAACCACTTGACCCCATGTATACATAAAAGGTACCAGCTGGACAAGTTACCTGTATCTTTCCTTCCAGAAGAGAACACTTTCTGAAAGACTGCTAAAAAAGTCTTACTCTGATCCAGCTGGTGGTTAAACTGGTTCTGATCTAGTAATTGCTCTTCTAAAATATACTTTCTACAGGACTGTAGCCTAAATTTAGCATAGTGAATGTTTTTGTTCAAAGGCCATGCTAGTCAACAATTTCCAGTGCTGGAAAATATTATAAAAGTTACTGGGAACAGCAGGCTGTCTGTTTTTTCCAAGAGCATTAGAAATTACCAGCTCTGAAATGAGACCCAGGCTCCCAGCTTGATTGGAAAAGAAAAAGAACCACCTATTTCTCCAATAGAGATCTTGAATTAATTCTGGCTTCTGGTTGGAAACATAATTCCTTTTCCTTTCATTTTTATGCTCTTGAAAGTTTTTTTGATTAAAACTGGGAGGTGACATGAGACGATAATGCCAACTTTGTGCTGCTTGTTTCTTGAGAACAAGAAAACTGGTTCCCCGATGGAGACCTCGTGGAAAAGTTCTGCAAGTCTGAGAGGGGAGAGGGAGTGAAGGAGAGAGGGAAAGGGGAGAAAAGGAGGAGAAAATGGGAGAATAGTAGAAAGAGGAGCTGAAAACAGAAAACTACAAAGTGGATGCTGTAAAATTGTTGGGTTGCTGCTTCAAGGATTCTGCCCTTGCTGAGCTGGTGTTCATTCTGCACATTAATGAAGGAGCAAGTTTGGGAAGGCAAATAGAGGTAGAAATAGTCCCTGGCTTAACTTGTCACAGTAGGTTTCTGGGATGCTCTAGGGAGTCAATTTTACAGTGAAGATGAGACAAGTCTGGAGACAGGCTTAAGCATGGAATAAGGGTGAACTCCAAAAGTCCCAGGTTTTTAAAGAAAAACGAGTGGTAATAGGTTGTGTAAGGTGTTGAAGAATGTCTGAATTGGGTATGCTATTATGGTACATACATATACAACTCTTCTGTCTCCACTGAGTGATGCTAATTGAAGTGCCTTGCTGTGATTGATAATATTCTTCAGAAATGAAGGTGGCAATATTTCAGTGAAAGCTTATTGGATTAATCTCTGTACAAATACCAATAGTTAGCTGTCTGAGAGGCTTTAAGTAAATTTTAATATTTGCATAATTGCAGACAAACATAGTGCTAAATAGTAAACTTTGAGGTATTCTGAAAAAGTTTCTTAAAAACCCCAACCTCAGAACAAAAAAAAAAACCAACAAAAATCCTGTATGAGAATTGTTTCATTTTAGTTTATTCCTGCCTTGAATAGTTTAAAGAATATTTTATTTTAGGGACATGTTTTAAGAATAAATCTCTGTACAAGTCAGCACTGGAGTAGTTGCTTAATTTCCATTGGCACCTCTGGGACCTAAGCACATGATCCATATTAGACAGATGCTTAAGTGCTTTCCTGAATAGGACTCTGACACAGTGACCCAGTCCCAAAAGTGTATTAATGTATTATTTGCAGCCTCTATAATGTGCCAGTAAACCAGAAATAAAATGGCTGCTTGTGCCAAAAACATCTCATGATATGTAGCTTGCAGAATGGTACATTGTAGGTTTACTACTGTAACTCATTTTTATCACTGCAATTCAGCTGATTTCCTGAGAGAAAAGGTAAACAGGACAGAAGAATCAGCACTCTGTGATTCCTCTGTACCTAAAGAGATTTAGTCTCAAATAAGCTTAGAAGTATTCCTTTTGCATTCTGAGAGACAGCAAGTAACTAGAAGAAAGGCCATGTTATTCCCAGGGTTCTCAAACAGTAGGGAAATAAAAGGATTCCTAAGACATAGATTGAAACTTTCTCAGCATTCAGCAGAAAATCCTCAAATGTAAGTGAAAGACAGAAATACTTTGGAAGAATAAATTCATTCAGCAGCTCCTCAGTATACCAGTTGAGAAATACCTTCCCATGTGACAACTGGGATAAGACAGATTTTGTTTCCTTATTTTTATCAACTTACATTGTAGGAGTTTCCAATTTTATAATTAGGTACCTTACTCTTTTTCTCTAGTTGGAATATCATTTGTCTTCTTATTAACTCCAGAATTCGAGCTGATTAGATAAATCTGGAGGAGTACATAACACATGTTCAAGCAAAAGACCCAAATAAATCAGTGTTGCAAGTTCATTAGAGGGTCTATAGTTTGAGAGGAATTAGGGGATTGAAAGAGATGGTGTGCTTCTAGCTAAATTCTAGGGTTTGGTTAAAGGTCTAAAGGGAACAGAAATTGCTCCTAGATGGTAGTAGGTAATTTATGACTTAAAACTACACTGTCTCAGGAAAATAAATCTTGAACTTCTCTTTGCATTGGAAAGTGTTGAAGCTGGAAGACTAGGATGGAAAAAAAAGTGACATCTGGAGCTGGAGAAGGTA